AGCAGCCTTCTCGTGCCTACAAAAGAAACACTCTCTTTCTACAAGCGTTTTCTTAATCATTACTTCCTATATAAATAACTACGAAGTGTTTGTCTTCTCTTTAAGGCAAAGGTTATTATGAGCAAGTTGGTTTGGGTTGTGTTGTTCTTTATTTTTTTTTTTAGGAGAAAAAGGGAGGAAAAAATGAGTGAATGAGAATCTGCTGCTGCTGGGGTTGCATCATTTATTGAGAGCTTTGCCTCTCTGCCTTGCTACAGTGTGTATTGCAAACCTCGCCGCCTCCTTGCACAGGAGGTGAAATCCTGCCCTGCTGAAGGGCTGGCGAGAGCTTTGCCTGAGCCCCGGCTCCACCAGGGAGCTGGCGTTGGGGTGCATCCCCCAACTGCTCGTGGGGAGTGGTGCCCGGTGGAGTCACCTCTGAGGGGTTGGTGTCCACTGAGCGCAGACCTCCTGGCTGGAGGCTTCGCAGGCCGGGCAGGATCAGTCCTGCCCGTCCCGCCGGGTCTGCAAGCAGATGTGTTGGTGCAGCTGCTGCCCTGAATGGGAGCGAGCAGAGTTTCAGAGGGGTCCTCCTGCTCCCAGCCCTCTTTCAGATTGACTTGCTTTAGCTGCATGGCTCCGATCAGAACAACGCTGCTGCAAAGCCTCAGGTTCCTAGATGGTTGATTTTTAAGACAAAAAAAAAAAAAAAAAAAAAAAAGTTTTTTTTAAAAAAAAAAAAAAAAAAAAAAAAAAAAAAAAAAAGACCTTGGTGAAGGTAGACATCTTAGCACATCAACCTCCGCTCCTTCCTGGTCTGCCTGGAGAGAGCTCTGGTTCATGATGTAACTCACTGGTCTCTTGGGCTTGGTAAGCTGCAATATGTTGGAGTTTTGCTGTGCATGTATTGTCTTTGCCTATAAAACCTGTTTGGACCTTTGCGAAGGGCACCCGGATGGCTGATGAAAATGCCAAGGAGGAGGCTGAGAAAGCTTTCAGTGTTTCCCAGCTTTGCTCTTTTTCTCTTCTTTTTTTTTGTGGGCTTTTTTTTTTTTTTTTTTTTTTAAAGGCACCACTGTAGTTTCTAGTCGTCATCTGTTTGGAAATGCTGCAGAGCCTTTCCTTGGCTTGTCTGACCCGTCTTCCATCCCCTCCAAAGACCTCGCGGAGGAGAGGAAGCCTGTTTTCTTGTAAACAGAGGTGGAGAGGAAAAACTAAACCAGCACTAGCTCCTCTGCTTGGATCCTCATGGCTTTTAAAGCCCTTTCAAAGACCTAATCAGTCTTTCTTAAGATGCAGTAATTTCTTCTCACCCTTGAAACCTAAAAATAAAAGGGTGTGTGGGGGATAATGCTTCATTGCTGGTGGTGTGTGCTCTTTGTGGAGGCTCTCCAGCCATGGAAGGTTAATAATCGGTCTGGGGTCGGCAAGGGAATGGAGGCGAACGGCTGCGGGAAAGGGGGAAAGGAGGGGAAAAAAAAAAAAAAAAAAAAAAATTGAGAGAGTGAGACTTTTATTGTGAAGCAGCCTGTGCTTGGCAGTTGGCTTTTGTTGGGACTGCTGCAAGAGCAGACATTTCTCGGCGGGGAGGGTGGGTATAGGATTTCCCTGCCAATCGGGAGCTGACGGATTGGGGCATGGGGAGTGTGAGCAGAAAGGGAAGTTTGCTCTGAATTTAAGGGAGGGGAGGGGGGAAAAAACCCAACACACACAAAAAAATTGAGGTATTGACACTTGCGGTGAAGTTGCTGCTAAGTTGGCTGGGTGGAGCCGTGGGCTGGTGGGAATGAATGGGCAGCGCTGCCCGGCTGGTGGTGGGTGCCCGGTGGGTGCCCGTCGGTGCTGGGTGCCGGCTGCTGCATCTGCCGGGCTGTGATGGAGCAAGGAGGGGAGAGCGCTGGCCTGGGGGGAAGAGGCTTCGAGTGCTTTGCAGGCGTTTCCTGTAGCTTCCTTTTGATCAAGACGCTTCAAATTTCACAGTTGGCTTTTTTTAATTATTATTATTTTATTTTTTTCCTTGATGCTGAGTTTTTGTTTGTTTCAGAGCAAGGCATGGAAGTTGTAAAGCCGCCGCTGCTGCTAGCGAGGGCTGTGTCTCCGAGATAGGAACCAGGAGAGCCCATCAGGTGCCACCTCAGTTAGCTTTGCCTTGACACCCTCCTTTTTTAACTCTCACAGGAGAAAAGTGATGGTTTCTCTCTTGCCTCTCTTGGCGCTGGAAATTCTGCTTTGAGAGCTCCCGCTGCCGGCCAGGACCTAGGGCAGCCCCGAGCCCCTGGTAATTGCAGCGAGGAGGGAGTGTGGTCATTAGCTGTCGAGGTCTGATTGACTCCGGGGTTCCTGCAGTGGCTTTTCTTCAGGCCTCGTGGGCTGAGCAGCAGCAACGCCTCTGTGGAAGTGGGAGCGTGGATGATTTGTGGAGTGGGGTTGCTGCTTATGAAATAAAGAAAAACTTAGAATCGGATGAGTAAAAGCGACCTGCTGGGAATCCTGGGGCTGCCAGTATCAGTCAGTTTAATAGCAGGAATATCAAGACCTTTCCTTGTTGCAGCAGAGGTTGGGAAAACAAGTTGGTCCCTGTTAGACAGACTGAGGCTCTTTATTTGCTGCTGGTGTCCGTGGCGAGGGCCTGGGTGCCCCTTCCCATGGTGGGAGCCGTGGGGCTGCACTTGGGCCCTGGCTCTCTGCGGTTCTCTTTGCATTAGTCTTGTAGCAGGGTAAGTCCGTGAGAAAAATGAAGTTATTCCCAGATTCCAAGAAGTCCGGCTAGAGGAGAGGAAGGGTTTACAAGCAGATGTTTGCAGCAAGGATATATTATTGGCTTAGCAAATAAATTAAAAAAAAAAAAAAAAAAAAAAGCTGATCTATGTTCAAACTTGGGCTGTGTTTTTATGATCATTTTTTGATGGAAGCTGTTGGCCAGTGTCTGCTGGAGGTATGTTCCGTTTCAGGTTATCTGATCAGTTGGCTGAGCTGAGGTTTCAAACGCTTATGGCTTTTTGGTGTGTGTCTGAAAATCTGAAGGTGGTGCGCTTGGAGCACAAGTTCCCTCTTGCTGAAAGCATCTAGACGTGGCCGTGTTTGGTGTTTGCTTGTGCCCGAGGGCAGGCAGCCACCCACAACCACCTTCCTCCTCGCTAGAGGAGCCATCCTTGAAGGTGCCCTTAGCTCCGCATGGGCGGGCCTGGCAGGTGGTGGAGGCTCTCCCGAGAACCTGTGCCCAGCCGGTGTCCCTCGAGTTTCCTCCTTCCCATCAACTGCGCGTTGCTTTGCAGACGATGGCATTTAGGTGCAGGGCAGGGTGGTCCTGCAGGCACCGAGGGGCAGGGACCTGGTGCTGGATGAGCCCTCCCTGGCTGCATGGCGTGGGGGGCTGCTGAAATCGGGGTGAAGGAAGACCCCGCGCTGCAGTACCTGCCAGCGCCTGGCGTTGCAGCTGAGTTCACATGGAAACAAAAATGACAGGGTGGCTGGTAATAACAACACCAAAGCTCATCTCCCCTGCTAGCTTCGGACGGAAACCGATGTGGGGAAGGGCGAGCTGCTGCTGGGAATGGTTTTGGAGCTGATACGCCGGGCTTCGCATGTGCGTCTTATCTCTTTTGCTTGCTTTATGGGAGATGGGCAGGTTCTTTTTTTTTCTTTCTTTCTTTATCACTCAGTGCGCTTTAAACCTTGTGATTTGCATGGCTGCAGGCACCATCTGCTCTCTGTGCTGGCCTACAACAGTTGGCTTGACCTGGGCTTATTCTTCTCCTGCGACGCAGGCAGTGTGCGGTGAACCCTTCACCCGGCCTGGCCCCGGCCCCGAAGGCGGACATCACTGCCTCCCCGATCACGCGACAGCTTTGCAAGGCAGTCGCCATCTTTACCTTTCAGACCAGCTTGTCTCCTTAAACACAGAGCTGTGTCAAAGGACCCCTTCTCTTGTGTGTGTGTTTGGGTTTTTTTAATACCTTTTACCTTTTGTTTTGTTTTGGTAGCTTTTTTTTTTTTTTTTTTTGCCACTTC